TTGGAGTCTGTCCCTGTAAAAAGCAAAAGTCAAACACAAGCACGTCCTACACATTTCGGTGTAGCTAGTACACAGCACAGTAACTCCCAAGAAACAACGGATAGTTGTCCTGTACTTTGTGACAAGGTGTTTTAATGTCTGACTGCTGGAAGAGAAGGAAAAAAATATGGGGCCTAATGCAAAACCTTCCAAAGATGTGATGATTTCCACTGATTCCAGTGTTTGGCAGGCTGGGCTTAAGAGGGCAGGTTCAATATATGTTTGAAGACAACAGAGAGAGGTCTTCAGAGCAAGATGAGGGAACTGACTTTTAATTTACCAGTTCCAGTGAGCTTCAGGAATTAAATTAGGCAAATCAGATGCCCCCTCATCAGCAGTTCTTCCAAAGTCAACTCCCACCCTAAGCCCAAATCTTCACTGACTAGCAACTGAAGCTTTCTTACCTAGGTTCAAATATAATGACAGACTAGAACACAGATCAGGAGCTTCTATGGTGGTGACCACTGGTCTGTGGCGGTCTGATGAGGGAACACCAATTTATGGTGGCTCGGCAATGGGAGGTGTAGATCTGTTCCACCACATTGGCACAGATTTTCTAAGTGACCGTGTCTAAGTCTTACCATCCCTGTGCTTTAGTCCCTTCAATGAAAATGGAGTGTAACTACTCTTGATGTCTCCTTCCTCCCTTGCCATGTCTTTCGACTGAGTATAAATCCTCTCCTTTGTGCATGTGGCACTGTCTTTAAATGCTAATTGTATAGTACAGCCAATGTAAAGTAGAGGTGAGAGTCAGAGCCCAGATAATTCAGAGAAAGCACTCCCACTGATGCTGGCTGACTGTCAGGCCCAAACACAGCTATTAGCAGAAAACAGAAATGTGTTGTACAAGTTTTTTTCCCTCTCCCTCTTCAAAATGGCTGCAATGAGACAGGAACTTTTCTGCAAGTTGCAAAGGACCTAGCCCATCCCTGATAATCCTGTGCTTTTCAAAACTGCCTACAAATGAAAATGAAATCCAAAACTCAGTTCCTGCCAAACAGGCGACATCGCTAATAGTGAAACGGCTTTCTAGTGGCATGACCTGCAGGGATGTCTGATAAGCACGTGATCTTTCTCCTGCAGTTTGTTTTTAATCAGATCTGAACAATGGAAGTTGACAATGAAATCCCAGAGCATCACCCAGAAAGTTCCTCAGCTTTTGGCTGGACTTTTTGTTTCTCTGTTGTTCTCAGTGTACTCTGCAATCTGCTGCCTGGAGAGCTACACTGGCCTCGCACCAGGAAGCTGCAGACACAATCTTATTTGCATATAATTCTCCATACTGTTTCCTCTAGAGTGTCTGCAGAGATTATTTAATTGCAGAAGCATACTGAGGTGTCTGGAGTGCCCCACAAACCACAGGCCAGACGGAGGCAAAGGAGAGGAAGCACGCTTTCAGTTACAGGTCAAGAAGGAGCATCCTCCACCTCTACCACAGCCTCCCCACGCACTTGGGCAAGTCTCTCCATCTTGCTCTCAGTAAGCTAGAGCTAATCAGGCTTTGTTCTGCCTAAAGGCAAGTCTCATTTACACAAACAGTTTAGGCTCTTCTCAACTCTGAAGCCTTACCCCATGGATTTTCTTAAGACATAGGTGTCTAAATTCTTGAATTGCTCCAAAAACACTTATCATCTGTTCTGTCAACACAGTAGATTTTTGCTCACATCATCTTGAGGAAAATGGAGCTCTCAAGGCTAACGAGCGCTGGGAGGACAAGCAGCAGAGCCCTTCCTGTGTGTCTGCAATCACCATATGCCTCCACGATCCCTGGGAGCTTGGCTGCTGGCACACGCTGCAGGCTGGGGGATTATCACTAGCTACGTTCAGCTGGAGCAGAATGTTTGTGCAGTCTGCAAGAAAACTTTGTCTTCCAGACACGTTACACAGATATGCTGTGTTTTGCAATTACATGTTATGTTTTGCTATATCAATACGTTATGTTTTGCAAATTTGAGTGGAATAAAACGCAAAGTGATTTAAAAATCTGGGCCCTTCGCTTCAGCTCCTCACATGTAAGAGAATACTCCTGTTAGAAAACCTGCCTGGACTGTAGTTCTTCCGCGGGCAGGCTGTCCTGCACTGCCCACATACTGCAGTCCTGTTCAGGATCTCCATACAACACCATAAGAACGCCCTTCAGTCAGTGAGTAGACACTCATCTCATGTGACAACATGACAAATATTGATCACAGAGATTCATTTTTGCAGGTAAAATGTGCCAAGGAATTTTAATCCTGGGTGCAGGTCAATTCCCCACAGGAATGGCAGGAGCTAAGAGTCTTTTCCACTAGAGAGAAGGAAGTATGCTAAAGCAGTCTGGATAAAGATTTTTGTCCAAGTCTATGATTCACCTTCTGTTGGGACTGTTATATACATGGCTAAGACAATAGAGCCTTCTGGAAAACTAGAAGTATGTTCTCTTCCATCTCCCTCTCATTGGGGAAACTTTATAGGCTACGTACAAACTCCTGTGGAGTTGCATAGCTTCGCAAACACTTGTTCAAGCTCGCTTTTGTACCTATCTTCTGCTCTGCTGTTCTCACCTAATGCCTAACTACTTTCAAGTTGCCCATAACCCTCATATTTAAGCTTTGGAAAACTAATAAATACAGTAATAACTATATAACTAATTTGGAGTGCTAGTAATTTTAATTCCTTATTCAGGTGTTCTCCAGCAGCAGCTCTCCTGATCTTTCTGTTGTGACCAGGGTTGTTTGGTCCATTTATTAATATTTTTATTGATTATAATATCTTTCACTAACTTGTAAGCAACGCTGATTCTTAATATGATTTTTTTTAGCCTGGTTGAGCACTGTATTACTTGTAGTAGCATTAATAGCTTTAATTATAGTACTTAATAATGCTGACACATATTTTCTTTAAAATAATTTGTTTATCCTTAATGAAAATGTCTATTCTGTTTGGTTTAGAGTTGAAATATATTTTAAAAACCAAAGTAGGAAATTTGAAATTTAAATTTCAGCAGCATATAAAAAATCTATGAAGACCCTCAAATGACTGAAAATTCAAAAGCTTATGTTGGTGGCAGTCAAAATTTAGCACGTGTTGAAGAGCCGCATTATGTCAGCTGCATTATGACAAAGAATTAGAAGTCACCATATGGCTCAGTTTTTTCCAAATAGCAATTTCTTAGGCATTTAGAATTATAATTTTCCAATTGAATTTTAACGGCTATGTTCTAACTAGAACTGGTGAGTTGAACTTCAGATTTGGTTTCTTTGATTCTGGACAAGAATGGGAGTTAAAAAAGAGGGGTTGGTAACTCTGAAACATTCCAAACTTTTTTTTTTTTTAAAGTTATTAGTAAGGGTTGAATCTTACACCATGCTGTGAATGTGACCAAACTGAAGGTGCAATTATGAGTAGGCTGAACATTTCAACAAAAGCCTTCGCCTCCACACTTCACTAGCAAACAATCTGAAAACAATCCACATTTGTAACTCATCTAAATATCCTAGTTCTTTCGCTCAGGATGCTAAGGCTCAGGCCTTCAGCTCTGCGGCACAGCTAGTCAGAAACTTCCTGATAAAAGTTTCATCAGCAAATGGAGAGCCCAATGTATTTAATTCAAAACATTTCAGAATTTAATGAGATGATAAGCCTAATATATGTTTGCACGGGTTTCCAGCATAAGCTTAAGTTTCTGGCAGAGTGAAGATGTGGTGTTTCCTGGGTGTGTGCCTCTGCTGCGCACCCTCATAGACCTGTGTGGCACAGAACTTCCATCACAACGGCCCCAACTCTGGGTTCACAGCCCCGACTGAGTTTCCAAGGGCAGCACAGCACAGGACACGGTCTCAAACAGCTACTAAATAGAATCTTGATGTTCTGTGCCCATGGAGGTAATTAATTCAGGAAACACCATGACAGTTTCTCAATTAATTTAAAAATGGCTTTAAACTTAATTTGAAGACTGAAGTTTTATACGAACTCAGACAGCCAACGCTTTGAGCACATGCCAGAAAGGCAGCTGTCCCCCAGCAACTACTTGCCAAGGATGGGATCTGCTGAGACTCCCAAATCCTCAAGAGCAGTATTTTTTGTTCCAGAAAACTGCTCCCTCCCCTTGTCTTGCCTTCCAGCTTGAGCCAAATACCTCCAGGTTTCTGAAAATACTTTTTCAGCAGTGAAAGGTAAACAGTTTTAGCCTCAGAGGAAGTACTCCTACATAAAGAGAATTTGATCTACACAAATCTAATTTACTGGTTGTTCTGAAACCTGCAGCTCTATTCACAAATAGACGATGTCTCTTTATCCTGCCTGTTCTGCCTTCACCACTTTCATAGTACCTCAAAGATATATCAAAGCATGAACTACACCGCAGCCATGAACTACGCTACCACAGGGTTTCTATGTAATTTCTAGTTAGAATTGCTGTTGTGTTCAAGAATAGACAGGTAGGTGGAAATTTAGGAGCTTGTTGACAGATTAAGTGAGATTGTAACTAAAATGAATACTGTTTTTGCATTGTCCAGTCTTAAAATGAGATTGGCTGAAGCAAACCAATTAATGATTTATTAGTTTTTCTTTTTACTTCCTGTAATGGTAGGAGTCACATTCACTCCTATGTTACCAGGATGAGCCTGGGAGAAGCTCTAATGGGGTGTTCCATCACCCCGGTGAAACATTACATCTCCATAGGAGGTTTTCCTCATTTTGAACTGTAACCATCTCATTTATTTTGGGTCAGAAATAGAAAACACCATTTGAATTGTGAAGATGATCAAGTGGCGACACAGTGCATTCTCCATCAGCTCAGTTTGCAGCGTGCGGGCAGCACTGACCCAGATAGAGTTTAGACCTGTCCTACAAGCATCACCAGGACGCGGTTTCTGGCAGTTTTATGTACGAGGTCAGAGACCAGCCGGCCTTTTCTGGCCTTGACTACTCCTGTGACGCCTTGAACAAGGCGACCCTGTCGCTCTCTGTTGCAGCCCCGTGGCGTGCGATCAGGAAACGTCCCTTTCACAACCGTAACTAAGGAGGCCAAAACGTCCAAGCGCGCTGGTGCGCGGGCGCCGCGCCGACCGCGTCCCTGTGCGGAACGGGACGCCTTTACCATGCCGAGAAGCGGGAGCCTTGGGGCGGGGGGTAAGGCATTAACGGCCACCCGGTCCCCCCGGAGCGGTCCCGGGGCCCCACGGACGACCCGCCGTGCGGGTGGGGGGGAGGGGGCGGGCCGTGGCGGCGCGGCGGGCTGACGTCAGGCGGGGCCGGCGCTGCCGTCGGAGCGCGGCCGCAGCGGGCGGGAGGTACGTGCCGGGGGCGGGGGGGGGGGGGGCGGCGGGGCCCGGCCTCGGCTGCTCGGGGCGCGGAGCTCGGCGGGGAGGGGGCGCGGAGCCGTGGGCTGGCTGCCCCCCCGCCGTCGCGGGTGGGAGGCAGCTCGCCGCCGGGAGGCCTGGCGGGTGGGGTGCTGCCCCGAACCGCCGGCCCCTCAGCACCGAGTCGCTGCCGTGCGGACAGGCCCGGGGCGGAGAGCACGGGCTGGTCAAAAATAAACACAACTTCACGGGGAAATGGCCTGCTTGTTGTCGAGCCAGAAAGTTCCCCAAATAGAAAACTTGCCTTGCTTGAAGGGGGAGAGGGGCGAATCGGGTTTGAACCCTGCTCTGAGCTCGGTCTGGTTCTGTACCCGAAGCCGTGGGAGAACGGGGCAGGGAGGTGCCGCGGGCGCCCGGCGCTGGGCTCGGCTCAGCCCCTTCCGCCGGCGGGGGTTGCAGAATCGGGCCCTTTGCAAGGTTGGCTGCTCTAGTAACTGCAAGCTGCAGGTAGAAAGGCTTGATTTGTTTTGAAGTTTGCTTTTCCTACCAGCCAGCTGGGTTTGAAAACAAGTGAACTGGAATAGACTACTGGATATTCCACATTATATTCTGTACAAAAAAGGAAAACCGCTGTTCCAGGGAGCAGGAAGGAATAGCCTCACCTCTTTGCTGCGTTAACTCTCAACGTCAGTTTAGTGTGTTCCTACTTCCAGATTTCACTCACCAAGGAACTTCTATTGACGTTGGCAATAAATTGATTTGTCTTCATTTAAATCCCATTTTCCATGTTGGTTGCACTAGTTTAACAGGCAAATAGTACTCCGTTGCAACTGGTTTTACCAGTATCTTCTAGCTCTGCAAATACTCTTTTACATAATGTGTGTTGATTGTGAATACTGTAGAGGACCTTCAAGTGAGCGCTTGTGCTTAAAAAGGATCAGAGAAGAATATCTTTGTTTTTGCACCTCCTACTTGAGTGCTGACAGATCGTTCCATGTGATTCCTTGCTCTTTATCCAGAGCTGAAGTTTTGGGCACTTAAATTCTGTGTTGTGAAAACGTAGCTGTTGCACATGAGATTACATGCAAGGTGCTGTAGAGCTGCTGAAGCCTCTTCCACTATTGTAGCCCCAGAGAGCTGTGAGATATTCTGTAATCACAGGCAAAACTTAATTTGTCAAGAGAAATGTTTTCTTCTTCATTTCTTCCCCTTTATGTGTCTAAGTTAAATCTAATTATGCTGTAGGTTTAAAGGCAGCAACATTCAATGGCCTAATCTAGCAATTGAAACAGAACTGAAGTTCATGCAAGTTCTCTGTTGGCTCTTAGACTATTAAAATACTTCACCTTAGCGGGCAAACTGGAAGATGTGGAAGCACCACTGGAGAGACCCATTCTGGTGAAAACAAAGAACAAGAAGACTATTCCTTGTAAAGGAGAATCTAGGGGGAGAGGAGCATGTACCGGTGTGGTAGGAGAACGAGGCTTAGGTCCTTCGTACTGCTTTGTTATTTTTGGAAAATAAATTGGCTTCTCTTTCTGAAGCTCATTCTCTGTAGGCAGGTGAGAACAGCATGCTTAGGCCTCAGAGCAGGACCAGGTGACCAGGATCAAAGCAGGAGAGGAATCTGACACTCCCTTTCAGTGGGCTGTCAGCTAAATGTTTGTTTTCCCAGCTTGCTGGTACAAAAGCCAAGAGTAAGAGGTTTATCTTGGAGTTTGAACTTTATCTGCAGGTGGTTCTCACCATCACACCCAAGCCTACGCTGGATGTGGTATTCCTTCAATGTGAAATCCTGCCAGCTATAGTCTCTACTTGCATGTTACACTATTTGCCCAGTACGGTGAAGAGGACAGAGCTACGAGTAATATCCAATAGACAGCATATATACATCTATCAGAAAATAAGTGGATGCTTACTAACTTTGTATTTTACTAGAAGATAACAAAACTCTCTTCTCGTCCTCCCTTCCCCCCCTCTCAGCTTTAAACACATCCCTTGTCTGGGAGGAGTTCCTCTGTCTATGAAATCAGCTGTGTCACCTTTCTCCCCTTCTTCTTATGCTGCTATAAGTAGAATGTTACCTGGTAGGTTCTGTCTCATATTGGCTTACAAACCCCACAAATAATTTCTAAAACAGGCTGCCCGCTCAAGGGAGGCTTAAAACACTTATTTTCTTGCTTTTCTAGTTCAATCGCATCCAGATAGTTGTGTTTTTATTAATCCATTTTAGAACAGTATCAGAACACCATTATGGTATATAATAAAAACTTTTCCTCCAATATATCCAATGCTTGATATCTTTTCTTTAGCATGCTCATAAACCAGTGTGCAGTGGCCAAGCGTTTAATATCATGCGTGATAACTTGAATTTAATGCAGGGTCCTTCTCACGCCATTTCAAGCTTCATTTAAAAGTTGCAGATAAACGAGAATCTCACGGTATAGGCTTAACTTATTTCACCTTGGAGAGACCTAGGGGTCATTTAGAAGAAATGCAAGTCATAAAACCAGCTTTCTTCTTCCTGTTTAAACTGTTTCAGCTCTTGTTTTGGCTGGACTTTGAGCCAGTGAATGAAAAAAACAGAAGAGGAAGTACAGAAAAAGGGAGGTAGGGAGGAAGTGAGGGTGCTTAGTAACTTGAGACTGCAGAATCTAGGATGCACACACATGTCAGGAGAACAACTTTGAAAGGAACTGGTGGCAAGTCTCCTGACTCACAGTCACTCCAGTCTGTCTCTTCCCCATGTTGCAAGAGTGGTAGCTGTAAGCTTATGCGTTTTCCAGTTAAACTTAGAAGTGGTCTTTGATAGTCACGTTGAATTGCTACAATTGCACATTTGTTCCATTTCTTAGTCCTAGAATACTAGTTACGCCTTACTGAGTATCTTCAGCTGCAATCTACCACATCTCTCTGCAATACTAGCTGGGTACACACAGCTATAATATACGATATTATGCCTCAAGATGCCTCTTCCTATTGTGTTATTGTGAAATACTGAAGACTGCTTTTCTCCCCCTCTCCTTCCTCTTCTGTCCCCTAGATTAAGCAACAATGGCATTTGTGAAGAGTGGATGGCTGCTCCGGCAAAGTAAGTTACCTACTTTTCTCCCCACTGTGTCTAACTTCAAAAAACATTAGGGTAACTTAGTAATTCCCAGGTCTTTCCTAAAGCAAGTCTCTTAGCTTGGTGGGTTGGGTTTTTTTTTGTTTTCTTTTTTTGTTTTGTTTTGACTTTTTAGGACACTTCACAAAATGACCTGTCATGACAGCATTTCCAGGTGACCTTTTGGATGTACCAGTGGGAAACAGGATGTGCCATATCTGAGGTGTCTGACTGGCATTCAGCTTCAGATGCTGCTCTGTAATTAGTGCTGTATAAATGGAGACTTGGAAATGTTACCTGACACCTTAACTTAATGTCTTCAATTAGTCATGCCCTCTGCCTGTTCTTGTAGCAAGTTAAAACTAAAGTGCCAGGTTATGCACTTGAAATAAATTCAGTTGGGACTTTGAATACTAGATAAAATATGGAACCCAATTCTGTAATATTCTGAAGTGGGGATGTTGTAGTATAGGATTTTGCTTGGCACCTCAGAATGTTGGGGCAACTGTGAAGGATTTCTTGCTTTATTTTTTATTAACTCTGGGACGCAAATACTTCGCAATATGTGCCCTCAAAAGTGACTGTCTGATTTTTAAGGTACTATTTTACGGCGTTGGAAGAAGAACTGGTTTGACCTGTGGTCTGATGGCTGCTTAATATTCTATGATAATCAAAATCGCCATGATGTAGAAGATAAAATCCACATGCGAATCCACTGCATCAACCTCAGAGTGGGGAATGAATGTCGAGGTAATAATGAAACTTTCAGGATTTGCATATTCAGAGATTCTTTACAACTTCAGTGCTTGCCCAGCATACCATTGTCCTGATTTCAGCTGGGATAGAGCTAATTTTTCTTTTTAGTAGCTAGAATAGTGCTGTGTTTTGGATTCAGTGTAGGATTTGGTATGAGAAGAATGTTGATTAATACACTGGTGTTTTCAGTTGTTGCTAAGAATTCAAGGACTTTTCAACTTCCTATGTCCTGATAGTGTGCAGGGGAACAAGAAGCTGGGAGGGAGCACAGCCAGAGCACTGGACCCAAACTGGCCAACGAAATATTCCATATTATGTAACATCATGCTCAGTATATAGAGCCGAGTCGGCCGGGAAGGGAGGGTTTTCAGCATTTGCAGTTTTCAGGATCTTTTCTTCTCCGAGATTGCTAGCTGGGCACAGGACAGTGGGTGGTGAGCAATCGCACTGTATTTGTATTTTCTATTATTATTATTAGCCTGTTTTATTTCAATTATTAAACTGTTTTTATCTCAGCATATGTATCTCCCTTACCTTTGCCCCTCCCATTCTCTTCCCCCATCCCCTGGGCTGGCAAGGGTGAGTGGCTGCGTGGTGTTTGGCTGCTGTCTGAGTTTAAACCACTACAACCACTTACAACACTACTGCAGAAGTAAACATGTCCAAGAATTATGCAATTTCACTGTTGCTAAAACCTCACACACATACTCCCCCCAGAAAAAACCCAACCCAACCAACTATTAAATTCCCTTATAGATACACCCAGGACACACTATCACCATGTGATAGATAAGTACTTTTAAAACTCAGTGAGGACAGTGTACCATATCTGCAGGTGGCAGGCATGCACGTGAGAACGGGGTGTTCACAGCAGACTTGTGTGTCTGATTATAGTGTTCCTGGTGTAAGTACAGTGCTGGCTGGAGTGAGAGCCAGGACCACAAATGGGAAACCTTGGCAGGTTTTTTTTAAGTATTACTGACTTCACTTCTAGCATTTGTTAGTACTGCACTTGATGCTGACACAAGTGAAGGACACAAGCATTGGGGAGTACTTATTGCTAAGTATGGATTGGTTCTGCTGTAAGACACTTGCTTTTCTTACAAATGATGGTCAGAGCTACTTACTTTCAGGACACTGTGAAGAGCAAAAACAGGTTATTTCCTTTTGTAATTTGTTCTGATGACGTGGAAAGCAGCTACAACAGGCTCTAGTTTATTTTGTCCAGACTTTTGCATAAACTGTCTCCCTTCTTGTAAATGCAATCATGACATTCTGGTTATATTTCATAACTCAACTCTTTTTTCTGACTCAGATTTCCAGCCTCCAGAGGGGAAGCAGAGAGACTGTTTACTGCAGATTGTCTGCCGTGATGGGAAGACAGTCAACCTCTGTGCAGAGAGTGCAGATGACTGCCTGTAAGTCTGCCAGAGAATACTGGGTTTGCTGCCTCTTCCTCTCTTAACTTTCTTTTTTTCTCTCTCCCTAAATATTTTTCTTCCTTTGGACTTTGAGACATGTTTTAAGAAAGTTTTCAAACAGGTAAAAGCAGGCTTTCAGTGACAAAAAGCATAGCTCTCGTATAAAAAGTTGTCTAGCTCATGCAAACTAACTGCAAGTTAAGTCACTGAAAACACTGAAGGGTGAGGAGGTGTAAAAGGGTTGCTGAACAGATTTTTTTTCACATTTCTCATTCTTCAAGTAGTACATGACCCCGCATAGCCCAAGGACTTCCCAATCAGTAGTGAAAGGAAGAATACTCCATTATTGTGAGCTCTCAACAGAGCTTGGTGATGTATAGTTAGATAACTTCTGTTATCAGTGTTTGCCAAGCATGCGTGGTGCATCGAGCATGCTCCCAGCCACATGGCATGGGAGCATCTGTGTAAAATATGCGTGCCTTCTGTTCGAACTGTAATGGCATCAAGACCCACACTCTCTAGTCAGCACAGATGCAATTGTTCAGGCAGGAGATACAACTTCCCTGGTGCATCTCTTCCTATTACCTTATCCCGAGCACGGCTGCGTATTACCTGGCTGTTGTGCTTGCAGTGAGAACCTTCAATCCCGCATCTGTGCCTTCTTGTGCTCCTCTTCATTCCTTCTCAGCACTGCAAAGAAAGTAATTATTTCTCACTCTTGGTGTAATACCTTTGTGCATTCATTTTACTATATCATTAGGCCTAGACATATGCAGTATCTTAAACTCTGCTCCTGCAGTACATCTAGTTGCTAACCTTCTTTTCTTCATAGTCCTAAAAATAAAAAGTGGCATTAATTTTTATCAGTGCTCCACTAAACAATGTATGTTTGTTTTTTTGCAGGGCATGGAAGATTGCTCTCCAAGATGCCAGAACAAACACAGTAAGTGTACTACCTAGACTTCATACTGATAGAGAAGCAGCACATCAGTGTTATGTGTGGTCCAGCAGTTTACTTCTGAAATCATTTTCCATCCTTCTCTGCTAGAAAAGAACAGGGTTTTGAGCATGATGGTAAGGCTTGTGGGTGGGAAAAGAATGATCCTCTGGATGACAAGCATGTCATCCTTGCAGCCAAGTCTAGGCAAATACATGCTGGGTGGAAGTGAATGATTTCAGGGAATGATTTCTCTGGGAGGAGGATAATGTTTGAGAAGGTGGTCTGTGAGGGAGGCAGGCACTGAAGCTGTGGGCAAAAAGTAAATCTTCTGCAACCAGTAAAAATGCACTTTCTACTCATCGTGTTTGTTGCCTACCAGGTACAGTGCTAAAGGAAGCTTACTGCCAAGGAGCTGTTAATATAGATCCATTACATTGTGGGATGCTTCTTGGCAGAGACTAGGGGAGGAGCAAGAGGTGCCTGGAAGGGAGTGCAGGCATGCCGAGAAGGAGTGTATTACCTCTAAATCGGCATGCTAGATGTGGAGAGTGAAGAGCTCAGGAATCATAAAAGCCTCTCTGTGAGTCTTGGAGTTCTCCAGAGAACTGTGTGTGGGGAACCACATCCATCCACGTATGGGTATTGTTAATTTGTTTTTCCTCCAGACTACTCTTGAGCACTAGCTTTTCTTAGATGGCTATACTGAACCAACCTGAGACGTTTCTGTTTCATGGGGAAATGCTGGGTTTTGTAGAATCTTATCTCAGTATCTGATGGGTCACATTAACATTGCCACTGTACTGAGGCATCTGTCATATGACAGAACTTTGATCTGCAGATACCCAAAGCAAACACTTGTCATAGCAGAAGTACCCTGGACGCGATTGCCTCTGACTACAGCCATGCCATGCTGCTTCGTGGTGTTAAATGAGAAGTCAAGGAATTGTCCTCACACAGAGGACCCAACACTCATGGTCTGTCTAGTTTTAGGGGCTTTGTCTTGCTTATGTGTGAGATGGTAACTCCTGGTTTCAGGAGTTGGGAGCTGCTGCTTTTCATGTCTCTGACATGCAGCTGCCAGCCCTGCTAGATGGCATTCAAAACTTGCCAGTGCATCACCTTTGTCAGCCAAGCCAGACCCCTGCTACTGAAAGTAGGGCAGGTAGCTCTCTGCACAAGTAGTATCACAAATTAGCACTTTACAAAGCTGTTAAAGGTCTCCAAGAAGGACTTGAACTAACCAGTTAGCTGTGTTCGAGTCAGTCTGTAGGTGTCTGACACAGCTTTCAAAAACACCAGGTATCCAGCAGCGCTTCATAACTTCACTGGAATTGCAGGGTGATCACTCTAGCTTTGAGAACTATGTCATTTATAGATATTTGCAGGCTTGTGTCATATGCCTGTACAGAGTTTCCTGTAGCAGAACAGAATACATTTACTGCTAAGATGTAAGCATTTGCTGGACTTTTTCTCAGGTGGTGGAAGTACCTGCCTCTTCATACAGTGCTTTCTACAGTGTGTGTCCAGCAATGCTTAGAATCTCCACCACAAGTCTGACCTGGGATATGGCCATAGTACATCCTTAGAAGTCTTTCTGTAGTCCAAGTACAAGACACAATAGGAACATTCTCTGTTGAGGCTATGAAACTTGCATGTACACGTATGCATGTGTGTGTGTGTGTGTGCGCGCGCACACTGGTGAGAAATTTTATGGCTCCTTCCTGTGGTTGATGAGGCATTTGTATTCTCCCAGGTCTGCTCTCCAAGTAGTTTTACAGCGCTTTACAAGGTACTCATTGCCTTCTTAACAGGCAGCACAGCTAAAGGTTACTCTTTCTTTGGGGTTATTAAGTTTTAATCTTGCACTACTCTAACTGGCTGTCTGTAGGAAAAGGTGGTAACTGCTACTTTGCCATCATGTTTAGGGCTACGTGGGATCTGATGTGATGTACGATGAGACAGCCATTTCCTCAGCCCCTCCTCCCTATGCAGCTTATGCCACACCATCACCTGAGGTAAGAGTTGCAGTCAGGAAGCATTATAGTAAGTGAGGTAGCAGAAGTGGCCATCCTTCAGGCACTTCAACTGCCTCTGCCATTCACCATCCAGGATGGGTGGAGAGTGAAGGCTGCTTAGGAGCACTTATTTTTCCAAGCAGCTGTTCCAAATCCTTTCCAGGGAGTAGATAGACTGTATCAGTACAGACTGGATATTTTAGTGAAACTTTGACTGCAGTAGAAATGAGGGAGAATTAATCAAAGTACATAATCAGATACATAGCAAACAATGCTTTTGTAATGGGTATTTTTAATTTCACCAGGTTTATGGCTATGGCTACGATCAGTACAATGGGGCATATCCTCCTGCTGGTCCTCAAGTCTTCTATGACTCCAGTGGACAAGCTTATGCTGTTCCCTATCAGTATCCATACCAAGGTAATCAGTATCAACCATTTCCTTCACCTTCCTATAAGAGCTATCTGAGTCAGCCTTTCTGGCTTTAATTCTATTAATCACCATCTTTTACCACCTACCACTCCTGTACAACAGTGTGATAGAAAGAAACATGACTTGTAACAGGAACCATATCCTCTTACCCTTTCAAAACAAGCGAGTGCAGTGAAATTTGCATTAAATGATTTAACCTTCCCAATGTGATCCCAACTTATTTAAATATACTTAAACTCTTTTTGAAGCACACAGAACTCTCTAACTACAGTAGCCAGCATGTTTCCTAAGGAAAGATAGAAGAGCCAGAACAAGATTGATTCAGTACTCCATATTGGGCATTGATGGAGCTTTTGATTTATCTGCTGCTCTTATACCTAGCTTAATTATTTCAACACTGATGTTCAGCTGTGACCTCAGAATTAAATGCAAGTTTCAAAGGTAAATCCACTCCCAAAGCACAGCTGTAACTGATTCCTTCCCCTCATGATGGAACTGCTGTAAGGCAGTACCTTCAGCCTTGTGAAGTCTTCTGTTACTCTGTTCAGGTTTGTATAGCTTTCAATCCCCAAAAAAGAGGAAAGAGAGTAACATTTTAGGGTGTGCTTTTAATTTTAGTCCTCTTAATTTAGGATTAGCTTTGCACAGAGAGCCCCAATCCTACAGAACTGTGACTTTAGTATGGGTAATGTCATTCAGAAGATTTAACTTAATAATTGTTTATGATCTGGCTCTGCAAACAAGAACCTCTTCAGAATTTTTTCAGTTTTGAGGGAGATTTTTTTTTTCCTTTTGACATTTGTTAGGTTATTTCATTTGCCTTTTCCATTTTTTGTTACAAGGACGTGCATCAGCCTAAAGCTTTCCTCACCTAAGTTAGTAAAGTCCTAAGATACAGATATGCAAGCACAGAGGAAGGTGGGTTCTGTTGGTTCTCAGCAGCTGAAAAGCAGCAGCTTGTTCAAAGTCCCAAGAAACATTTTTAAAAACCTACCATCAGGCCTTGAAAATCAAGCCTAAGAAACCTGTATGATAAAAATGCAGTACTAAACAGTAACTCTCCTGAACAGTTCGCACATCCAGTGTGTTAAGAAACTAGTTACAGGTTGGGCATAGTAACCCAGCCTCAATGTCTTCCTTCACTAGGGTTACTGCAACTAAATCTTAGGGGTCAAGTTCACCCCCTTCAACCTACTTTTGGCTTCATTGCTCATTCTCTGTATTGACATAATCCTTCCATGAGGTTTCCAGTCATGCATCGTTGAAAGTCAGTGAGAGCTTTTTCCAGTTGTATTAGTTGTATTACTTTGGTATCTGTTAGAAAACGCGTTGCAGTATCTTCAAGAATATTTAATCTACCTCAAGTGTCTGGAAGGGAAAGCAGTACTGTTATGTTTGCTTTGCATGTAGGAGCTAAGTCACAAAACATGACGGGTGGAGCTTGTACAACTCTGTTGCAGAGTAAGGGTCAGTTGGTGGTTCCTTGAACCCTAGGTTAATTCCTAACTACTGGGTCAGTCTTTGTCTGAAAAGAAACATAGCAGCTGTCGCCACACAACAGATCAGTTCAGGATGTGAAGGCTGAATTGAAGTAGTAGCCAGTAATTGTAGAGGAAATAACTGATACACAGTTTCTGGTGAACCACTGGCTTAAGAGCTGCCAAAGATTTTTTTGGAGCGGGAACTACACTATTTGCCTTAACTTCAAGGTTGAATCAATTTTTAGACCCATTTCTTGCATTAAATCCACCAAGTGTTTAATAGAATGATACAAGTAATTCCCAAGTTCCTTGCTAATATAAATGCAGAACAATGTTCAGTTTTACATTTGTGATGAGCTTTTCTCCCAGATATTAAACTCTTGCAAGGCTAGAAGTGTTGCTAGGCCTCTGGCTTTGTTTAATAAACGTGGAGGCTGAATCTAAAGCAGAGTTGTATTCTACCTTGATAGCTGACATCATCTTAGTATTCAGTGGAAGAGGGTGAAAGAACGGGCATGTTTTGAAATTGCAATGCATGGTATTAAGATACACATTACTTTTGCCCTCTTCCTAACAACCTCTTATTACCTAGGACCTTATGGCCAGCCCCCTGCAAACCATGTCGTCATTCGAGAGCGTTACCGTGACAGTGATGGAGATCTTGCACTGGGCATACTTGCTGGAGCAGCGACTGGAATGGCTCTCGGATCATTATTCTGGGTCTTCTAGATTACCCGTTCCTTATCTTTGTAGTTCCAAAACCCTTTACTGTGTGCAATAATATACTGGCAACGTTGTTTACTGTTAAACTTTAAGAAATACAATAGTTATTTTTCAGTAGTGACATCTAAATAACTGATTCTTCACAGTCTTAAGGAGAGTTTAAAGGCACCATTCAGTTAAGTGGTTGGAGATGGCATGTGCTGCTCTCAAATGCTGTTCTGATGTTCGGAGTTACAAGGATTTGTACTGATAAGGATCAATATGAGCACCAATATAACATGGTAGCAGTCACTAGCTTTATGAACAGACTGTTATTGTAAACACCACAGAAAAAATGGATTTTTGGAGGGTCTAAAATCTGGTCCAAATAGGAGGTTTACGGGAGCCCTGCATTAGTGCATATGTACTACTGGCTTCTAAACGTTCCCTGGACAAATATACAGCTCAGCAAAAACTCTTTGGCATTAGGTAGTCTGCCATGCTTGAGGATTTTTTTGTTCTCAAACTTGCCTGCAGATGGTAGCATATTTTCTTATATGGAGTCCTATACCTGTCTCTCACACCATCCAGGTGAAGCTGTCTTTGAGAAACATATAAGCAAACTACTAAGAAGTGGCAGCATTCCTCAGTTCTTTTATTCTCCCAGAAACGTGAATGACCAGTGGCAAGGAAGACCAGTGCTTGTTGTTCCATCTCCCTCCTCATCCTGAATTTCTTTTCTCTGCTTAGAAGGAAGTAACGGATCTTTCATATTGCAAGGTGCCTGTAGAACAGGCACCTCAGACACTGTACCAACTGCATTGCTGAGGAAGAAGCCATTGTTTAGTGCCTCTGCTCAGTACTGCTATCTCTGTGCAGAGTCTGCAGGAGGAAAACTTGAACAATCCTCTGCTGTGCTGGGCTTGCCAGCACTCCTCTGCAGGCAGTAATAGTCAAGAGGGGAAAGACAAACAGCACAAGTAGACCTGGCACACAGGCACTTTGGTAGCAGCTAGCTGCCTTGCCCTGGCTAGGACAGAATGTCTGCCTCCTGGCCTCCAAGGTCTCCTGAACCAGGTTCATTATTTGCAACTAAGTTTTGAGCAGAGCTGAGCTTCAGTTTGTCCTGTGCACTCTTCCCCCTTCACATTCAGCAGGTGTCTTGCCTCCATGACTTGTTAAGGAAAACACACCAAGGAACCTGGCTGGCTTTGCTTGTATGTCTGGTTCCTTACACAGTGTGCTCCTGCAGACTGCTGTGCTACGGGCTATAACCTGGACTGCAGCTGTTACATGTGTTATGTATGTGGCCTGTTACCTGATCCTGTGTTAATCCATGCTGAGCTGTGCTTGGCGGGGGAAAGAAGAAATGCATATGCTTTCTTGTTCAGGTGAAACAGGCAGGGTGCCTAAGTTGAGTTCTTTATAGTAAGAGGACTTATTTTTATACTTCCACTTTCAGCTTTCTGTATTGATGTTGCTTTAATATGTTAAGACTTTTCTTATGCTTTCATTCAGAAGTAGGTTGATTTCCTTAAGGTTCATCGGGGTTCAGGGTATCTCAGGAAAGATGAAAAGAGATGAGAACTTGCACCTCTATCAATTTAGATCAAGCCCTAACCTTTTTCATTTCATCCTAAAGCTGTCTTGGCTTTATCCTACATATTTAAGCAATAGAGGTCTCAGACAAGAGTTTGGGTAGCAGCCAGGGGGAGCACTAAGCTTTCATGACTCTTAGAATCAACCCAATAAACTGAAATCATCAGAAGTAAACAGACAGATGTAACGTTGGCTGCATTACAAAGAGTGGGACTAATCCAGGGAATGTAAAGTTGTTTGAAGAAACTTTGGTTTGGAGTCATATACAAATGTGCATGCATGTCCTTTCACAGATTAATACAAGCTGCACATGTTCTGCCAGTGGTATGTACTGAAAGGACTTGCTGGAGGATCAAAAGAGAACTAAAGAAAAAGTTTCCTATTGCTAGTCCAAACCAAGAGAAATTAAACTACTGAAGTTCTCTTAGAAGCCTGGTACCCTTGAGGTCAGAAGGAGATGGTGACTGTCTGGAACTTAAGTGAACAAACATTTCTACTCTTTTTAAGCCTTGAGATAACCTTGAAGCTGATTACAGGTCTACACTGCTATTTAGTTTGTGCATTACAATATAACTAGTTCTGCAGAATGCCTCCATCTCTTCTCCCTGTGTGATATTTAGCTTGTAAGGGATGGGGGAGAATAAAACAACTGAACATCATTGCAATTTCTTTTGAATTTCATAATGATTGTGAAAAAATAGCACAAAGTGAATCAGCTAGTAATTTATTTTAAGTTCAGAGTTTTAGTGTGTGGGGTTTTTTTTTGTTTTGTTTTTTTGGGGGGTTTTTTTTGTTTGTTTTTGTAAGAGCTTTTGATCACATGATCACAGCAGGGAACATGTCTCTTGCATGTTCAGGAGATAACACTATCTACGTCCCCACTTTCTTCAAGTGAAGTATTTAAGATAAAGACTGTTGATTGCAAAACATTCCCAATGTTGAATTCAAAGCAAGAAATTATCTTTTTAGAAGTTCAATTTGAAGTAAGTCTCCATTAAAAAGATAACCCTACCCCTTCTCAAGGGAAAAATAAATTATGAAGCTGAAGATTCTAGTTCCATTAAGATGGGGATAAGGAGCCAGCCTCTTCCAGTGAGTGGGGTAAAGGTTTGTGAAGTAGGGAGGAGGGGGTGGGAAGTGTTTACAGATGGAGTAAGCACACTGACTTGGCAAAAACGCATCTTTTCTAGTGCTGAAGCACATTCTGAGCTGTGTCTAGATGCAGCTACCCCAAACGTGACACAGCACTGGCTTCATTTTGTTTGTTCTTCAGTGGAGATTCAATAGGTGATGGAACCAGCTAAGCAAGTTGAGTAAAGGAGAAAATTCACATCCACGTTCCTCAGATGTGTTTGTGGTTTTTCCTCTTTGTGATAGGACTGAGATAAATATGTATAAGTCATGGAGGGTAGCATGCAGCAAATATGTGTGTGTTTGTCCCTGGATCCTTCATGTTGTTCTGCACTCCCTACATAATGTACTCATTCTCATTAATAATTTGTAGAGAAATGCCCTTAGCAATAAAATTAATATTTAGGTGTAATTGTTTTGTCTTGACATACTTACTAGACTTTGTTCAACATTTCTCATTTAGTTAGTCTGTAGATTGGTATATGTTTTTCAACACATAGTCAGCTTGCAGGATGTTTCCTTTGCAAGGAGGCAGTACCACGATGAATTCTGTGCACCTCCAGTCTTTCCTAAGAAATTACAAGGGTGACTTGACTTGGTAGGAAAATGAAATAAGACAACCGTGGCTGTTGGAGTTAGAGCTCAGGCTGACATACTTCAGTCATCTCAGTTACCATTTAATAAAGATGATGTAATGTCTGTGAAATCAGCAGAGTAACACCACACTAACACCACTATGCCAATATTAGAATTAAGACCTATTCCTTTTTTAATGGAGTTGAAGGCTTTGACTCAGAAATGCTTAACCCTGGATATATGCAATGCTGATCCAGATTTATCATTCGACATTGCGTTATCAAATCAACAGATTTGTACTGTTTAGTATTACAGCAAGCAGCTTGGAGCACAGATGTTGCTCTGGGCAAAATGCTACTGGTTGCTGTATTGGTATTTCCTGTTTATGAATTGCTTCAGTGGAGTTGGGTACAATCAGTAAGTTTGCTTAGACAAGGGCACTAAATGACCACAGTTAGCTCCACCTCCTCACATATTTGCTGGGAATTAGACTATTTGCCAGAAGGACCACAGCACATTTTGTAAACCGTTATCCTTGCTTTATGCACTTTTTTTCCTTATTGTTGAGGGGTGGTAATATTTTTTTTAGCCACTAATCTGGGGGAGGAACAAAACCAAAGCTGCTATTTCAACCAATCAGTTAATGCGGGCATACACATCGCTCTTCCCTCCAGCATGTTGTGTTGGCTACACTTATTTTATCAGTCATCAGTTCCACATGATGGATTTCCTAGGCTAAGCAGACCATTATGCACACTTAACCCTGCCCACCAGAGAAACCACTTTTACTGAAATTTCTGTACCAGAACAAGTTCAGGAACTAAATTTGCTGTGCAAGGCTTAGCAGCTCCATCCCTTCCTGAACTGCCATGTTCTGAACTGGCAGCAGCTTAGAGAATGGGCTTTGCCTCAGTTACTCCTTTCCCTTCTCCCACTGCATTTCCTGCCTTGTTTGCGGTCACTAAATGCAACCACAGTAATTAACACGTGTTATATTCCTAAAAGTACCTTTATTTGTCCCTCCCCTATTGCAGTTCCATTACAACACACTGGAGTGAATGTGGAGCATTTACTGTTCCCTCCATTTCAGCTGAAAGTGATCCTCCCACCCCATATGTTCTGAGCACTTACTACAGATGAGAGCTTGTAACAACAGACTGACACTGATGCACTGGTTTGGGAGTCTCCTGATTACCACTGGTTATCATACTAGGTTTCAGAGTTCTTGAGGCATCTCTAAAAGGCTCCAACTCACAGGGCGAATAAAGGCTCTAAATGTATCTGCATTAATAATTTAAAGCTTAAGATCCATTTGAAGGTGATTTTTAAGGCACAGAGCGTAAAAGTTTCAGACTGACAGTACTGGGCTTAATCTGTCTGAATACGGTGGATACAAAAGTAATACCGCCTAGTTCTCCACATACTTTAGGTACTGAAGTTAACCACGCATATTGCAAAGTGGTAAGTCTTCCGCTAGGACAGGTCGAGTCGAGAGTGACCCCAAACGATCCCTGGCGAGCACCCACAGCTCCCAGCAGCCGGGTGTACGTGGAGGGGCTAAAATGAGCTTAACCCTGCGTGGGGCGCTGCCAGCCGCCCAGCGCCTCCGGGCTGCCGAGGGCCGGTGGGACTGGCTGCGGCCCCGGCCCCTCGGAGCGGCGGGGGAGCCCCGCGGCCGCCCGCTAGATGGCGGCGCCTCCCCGGGACACGGCACGGCGCGGCCCCGGGGCCCCCGCCGCCCGCTCCGCCCGGCTGCAAAGCACCGGGGGCCGGCGCGGGGAACCCCCGAGCAGCCGGCGCTGGTGGCCGGAGGGGGCCGGCACCCGCACACCCCCCGGGGAAGGGTCCCTGGGCAACCAGTGTCAAGTTTCAGAAAGAAACGAGGGCGTTCTTGGCAATCCCGCCAGCGTGCAGCTGCCCCCCAACACGCCCTCCCCCCGCAGCGGGCCGCACTCCCCTCCGCCTCAGCAGCACAATCCCGCGGGGAAGCGGCGGCACTTCTCATCCCCGTTTATAAATGGGTATAGCAGTGCTGTCTCAGCCCTCACAGGAGCTCGGAAGCGCTCCTGCCCTGCCAAATAATAGTCTGGGATAACGATCTTATTCATGGGCAGTGAAAAAACCTGCAGGTTTGAGGTTTGCAGGCAGGGTTGCACTCTCGGCAAGGCTTTCCAAGCCTGCTGCTGATCAAAACCAGTTTTTCATGGGAATGCTCAGAGACGTGATTGCAATGAAAGGCTATTTCCATGCCAAATTTCCATGCTCAAATCCCTAGCTGCTTCAGCTGAAGAGCTGTTTATGATAAAGTCGCAGGATTTTTTTATTACTGGAAATGAAGGGGTATTTTGGTTCTCCTCCTTGTTCTGCCAAGCTAGCAGACGAACCGGACTTTGCACCAACCAAAGTCTAACCCTTGGGCAGCTACCACGCATAGGAACTGCCAGCCCCCCGACTGCAGTGCTCCCACTGTGCTGGAAAGGGACTGGCATCGGTCCCCCGCAGCCTCGCAGGGCTGGGTGGCCGAGCGCCCCAGGTGAACACAAGCCAGCGGGGCACTTCCCGGGGGTCTGGGCTTGCCCAGCCGGCGCTGTAACCAGGAGGATGGCCCAGAGCCCTGGCCTGGCACTGGGATGTTCTGGGTCAGTTTTCCCAGCTCTGTCACAGGCAGTTTGCGCGATGTTGGAAAAAGCCACTTTACATGGTTACATCTCACTTCCCTCATTCCCCAAAGAGAGACGGTGACACAAAAGAAACGGACGTGTTCACGAAAAGCTGTAAACTGTTCTGCTCTGTGTGTGCACTGAGGACATGGAGATATCCATCTTGGCTGACATTTTCAGAGACCTTTGATATGATCATAAACAACAACAATTACCAGTGTTTAAATAAGAAACAGCCTAGAATATAGAGGACAAGGGCTGGTAATTCAAGAATGGCATCATGTTTCTTTATGCACAGAATATAGGACACAAGGACTGGAATATATTTTAACCCTTCCTTATCCAAAGCACACTCAGCTCCACCACCTTGCAACACATGCAGCAAGCCCAAGCCCTAGGAACCCAACCTCCACCTGATGCAGGTGAACAGGACAAAGAAAGACTGAGCAGTATTCCAAAGTAATGGAGGGAAAGGGAAAGAAACAGTTCTCTTTGGACAGAGATTTTTAAAAGGAAATGTTCCATTTCAGTTTACCCGTTTCAAGCTCATTTTAGCTATATACACAGGAAGGATCAATTTTGAAACTGTCTACCTTCAATTCATAGCAACATAAGCATCATCAACATGTAACTTCTGTTACCATCTTTCAAACAACTGCTTAGTTCAGCAGATGGAGATGCAACTGTGTCATGCATATCAGACCATGCATGATAACAGATGGACTCTGAATACATTAATTGAATGTCTGGATCATGAGTCTTTACAGACTGTGAATTTATTTGCTTTTGCAGTGACTGGCTGACAAAGGGGAAAACAGAGACACATTTGTTCCTTAAGTACCCTGAAAAATACTGAAGTCGATCATTTCACTACCTGAAATTTCTCCTGATGTGGAGGTTCAATATAGTGCCATGTGCCATCCTTCTATTCAGGCATGAATTAATGCAGATAATTGGGGGCCTGAAGGAAGCACATCCAGGTAAAATCCCTCCCACTAGCATAGGACTGTCTGCCTAGTGCTGGAACAAATCCTAGTACTGATTTCTCAATCAGCTGCTCAACACTACAAACCACTTTCAATTTGTGTTCCTCAGCTTGCAAATATGACTTAGCCATCTCCCAGGTACAGGAAAGTTCCTATTCCCAGGAAAGTGATGTGCATATGGACTTTCCAAATAGATTCTGAACAATGGTCCTTTTTACATCTTCCTGATTAAATCTAAGTAATGTTTTCAGTCTCCTATTTGGATGGCCGAGAAATAATCAGGAAAATAACCCTGACTTCCTATATTCTTCCATAATTTTCTCTGAAAGATGCTCACTCCTGCTGTGCTTTTTTTTTTTTTCCTTAAAAAAATTAAAGATTATTCTCAGAGTTCACACCACAGCATCCTGCTGAGTTAAGAAAGCAAAATCGTACACTTACAGGCCAGAAGAATCCCCTTCAGTCAATCAATAGCTATATTTCTGACTGGTTTAAAACCAATTGTTTTAGATGTCACTATTCCAAACAGCTTTTCTCCTGATCAATATCTCTGGCAGCTGTTCAGATAACCTATCAGTGGAACTAATTGCTGTTAAAGCTATGCACCTATGATCAGTCAGGCTAGGATATGTTTTCCTTTTGTAATTGCAATAGAAAAGATCACATAAGTTCAAACCATGCAAAATACAACTACCTTCTGGGATAGGCATATGTCAATTTAACAGAACAAACATTTTTTGATGCTTTGTCCTCACCACAAAAAAGAAAACCAGAAATATTTCCATTATTCCAGCTGTCAGTGTGCTGGCCCAAGCAGTCAGTGTGCTTAACTTCAGGCACAGAAATAACTGCATTGACGTGAATAGCATACACACCGTGCATCTTCAAGTGCTTGTGTCATTGGATAGGCCAACAGTTTCGTAAAAATACAAAGCTCCCAAGAATGTATTAGCAATTTGTGGGGAGAAGTGAGGGAGCCCTCCAAACTTGCTGGATTTGTCTATGCATGGTGCAAGAAAACAGGCCAAAATCTGCACCAGTGTAAATGAGCAGAACATTAATGAATCCACATGCTAGCTTGCACCCTGGTTTTACAGCTAATGAAGGCTCTCAAAGATCCATTTTAAGTAAAGGAAATGCCTGTGCTGTAAACAAAACAGTCTGCTTCTCCCTTCAACAGAAGTATTACC